TTGTCATTCCAGAACTTCTTTCTTTCAGCTTCTCATTCATAGTTTAAGGAAATGTTGTTTGCTCAGCTGCAAATGGACTTTTGTAGTTTTGTAAAAAAAAAAAAGAAAAAAAAACTTTTCTTTTTCATCCAGGAGTTGTCTTTAGTTGTGAGGGCTGAAAACTGACTGCTGACGAAACAACTTTTGAATCTCAAGGACGTCATGTCAACAAACGGCTTTAAAGCTAAGCTGAAATGACTGAAGTTTTTTTTTTCTCAAAGCTGCTGCAGTCACCTAAAAGAAAAACAACGACAAAACAACACCGCCTTTTTTTTTTACACTCGCTCTACAGTCGACACTATTGTTAAAGTATCACCAGGAAATGGTATATTACACATGTCACTATACAGATTTCTACAATCCTCTACAGTAGTGGCTGAAGTGTCCAGGTTTGGTAAAAGCAGTTCTCTGTCAGTGAAGTGGTTTTAGGCTGCAACTTGATTCACAGCCACTAGAGGGCGATGGTGCTTCTTCCTGCTGCTGCTGGCTCTCCTCCTGTTTTTCGGGCTCCACAGACAGAAAGCTGGGAAACGTCTGTGCTCGGGGGATAAACGTCATCGACAGGCCAGTTTCTATGGAAAAAGTACAAGAAAAGAGTATTTTTTTAAAAATAACTCTGTTCATTCTCATAGAACATCATATATTTATCGTCAAAGCACTCGTACTGCAGTGTTGCTTGGTTACTGTGCAAAAAAAAGAGAGAAAAATCTAAAGATCACATTGTCCCGATTTTTACATTCATACTCGTCTTGGCATTAAGGTTAATTATAGCAATGAAGAAGTTTAATGTTGGGTGCAATCGACCTTTGACCTCCGTAAGCGGCCTCATCTATGTCTCATCATTCTCTGGAGTCTGCCGACCTCACCTTCTCTGCTCTCTCCCTCGCCGCCTTAATTTAAATTAATTGGACCAATTTGTCCTGCAGTGCTTATTGGTTAACTGCACAGGGAGGGTGGGTGTGTGTGTGTGGGGGGGTAATGGCTCCTTGTGGGTGGAGGGGCTTTTTTTTTCTTATGCAACTGTGAGACGATTAATAATATATTAGAATTCTGTTTGGAGACGTGAACGCTGAGGTAGGTCGGGGATAAAGTAGCTGCCAGGCTGCTGATCATGCAGAGCACTGAGAGGAAGTGGCATCGATCAATATTTCAGCAGGTGCAAAACCCAACACAACACTGTAATCAATTTTAAACCCATAGCATATCTGGTAGCTTTTTAATGCAGCTCACAGAGGGAGAAAGTTCCCTGGTGTCCATATTCTTCTGATCAATTTACACACGCAGGGTAATTGGAATTTGATGAACAAATTAAAATTTGTCTTTATTTTCTTCCAGGGCCAGAGTGAAATAAAAAAGAATCGACAAAGAGATTATTTTTTTATTCCAGCGGTTGGCGCTGCAATGCTTTGCTAGCGAATGGGATTGTGAAATTGTCAAAATTATTGTTGTAGTTCCAGACGCACACGCAGGCCAGTTGTGACATCGATAAAGGAAATGAATCTCAGTACAAGATAGCGTTGGCTCTACTGCAATACCAGACTTAATCAAGCCTGACAATCGTGTAGCATCTGCTGTGGCTCTGCGTGTTGGAATACTTTCTAAAAAAACGCTCTGCAAACTCAAATCTGTGGTAAATCGCAGACAAGACGTTAAATCCAAAAGTTGTCCCAAATACAGAGGGAGTAAGAGTGAAAAGGTGAAGTGAGGAACATTCTGGATGCTTCCTCATTGAACAGGCTAAGTAAGTGGTACCAGGTTTGTGCACACGTGTCAAGGTGCCATTGATGTAGAGGCTCACACTCCTGTTAGGATGATGTCAAGGAAACTCCTTCAAATGTTCTGCGGAACAATAACCCGTCTTATTCCGTACAGAACGATAAAAGCCCCGGCCCGGTATCCATCGAGGGAAGTGAGCCTGAGAGACTGCAGCTGTCCTGTAACCAAAAATATTTGGGTTCTCAATTTTTCACCGGTGGAGGTGTGGGGGGGCAGGGACCAGTCCCAAGATGTCATAGCTGGTTCTTCTATGCTAACTGCTAATTGCTATTTTGCTGGAAGAAATACAATGAGCTCTAGTCTCTAGTCCTGTTGGGGTTGGCATATATGATGTTGATTCCATATGGTAGCGGTTATCACACCTGCCTTACACTTAGAAGGTCACCGGTTTGAGCCCCAGAGGAACCACATACATAATGGCGCCTCCCGTGGCTGCTTGTTTGGGCTGCAAATAATGGACTCAATTATTATGATATTCTTTCAGTGGACTCACCACCCGCAGGAAGGTTCGGGGGGTTGATACGGTGCACTGTGACTTGGGTGGAGACTGCTGCCCTCGCGACCCGGTAACGGATAAGCGGATGAAAATGGATGGATGGATGGATTATGATATTTTGCTGTAAGGCAACAAGTCTAACCACTGTTCCACTGTATGGCCCGGTGTGGAGCACTTCAAAGATGATTATCAGACAATGGCAAACTATAATTGTGTTTTTGTTGATAACGAAGGTCACAGTGAGCTACCAAATGACACATGTCAGTTTTTAAATCATGATTTTATAGACGTGTGTTTTTAGAAAAGATAAAGATAGAGTAATGACGTAAAACTGGATGAAAAAAACAAACAAAAAGAAAAAAGAAAACCCCCAAAAAACCAAGGGAGCGACGTCCTGTGTGAAGAGTTTGAAGAAGCAGCTCAGAGGTGCCAGTGTGGGCGTCAGGAACCAGGATGAGAGCAGAGCAGCATCAGCCCTAACAGGTGACTCATACCCACACACTCACATGCACATATACATTATGCATGTGTGTCTCTTATAAAGCAGTCTTCCGCCTCCGACCGCTTGAGAAACAAATTCGGGAAATGAGATAAGACCTTAAACTGATCTCAGTGCGTTTTGCTTTTAAAGAAAAAATAGTTTGAAATCGAAACAAATATGTGTGTATGTGTGTGTGGGGGGGGGCATTTTCTCTCCAAGCTACTGTATTAAATAAACTGCTGAAATGACAGGTGGGGTAACCAGGCATATCCTTTTCACATCTTTGCCAAAACAGTGCCCCAACACCAGGGCCAATTTGATGTGAAAACCAGACAGGAAGCTCTCCTCAGCATCACCTACACACACTGTCTTTGAGCTGTGCAGTGACAAGAGCCACACGTTTGAACTGGAGACACAAATGTAGACACAAAAACACACAGAGACACACACAAAAAAAATAGAGAGGGGACAGTGTCAGCACCTCCCTTCTTCTCCCCCTTCCCCCCCCCCTGTCCCTGTGAGAAGCAGACAGTGATTTATCAGTGGCTTTTCATTATCCAGGGAAGGTCATGTCATCCTATCTGGCCCGAGGATGGCAGCTGCTCGTCTGGTCACACACAAAAATACTGACAGCTCTAATGGCGCAGCCCAACACATAAGCAGCTATTCATGTGTGCATGTTGACAGACACACACACACACACACACACACACATTCAGACACCTGTCTGCACCTTGCGTCCTCACAGAATGATAACCCAGATGGCAACCTAGTAACAGCTGTAACCAAAGGAAGAGACGCCGCCTGTTCCTCAGACTTCAGGTTATGCAAAACTGCTGACATGCACCTTTTGTCTTTGTGTGTGTGTGCGTGTGTGTTTGAACCCAGCTGCAGCGGTAACAACAGACTGTATTGAATCAGAAGATCACAGTGGGTCAGTTTGTATTTCCATTTGTGTTTAAATAATGCAGAAAAATCTCACTTCAAACCTAATTCTTTCCTGATCACATCCTACAGCTCACACTCTGACATCGGCCTTGATGCAGATCAGACCATATCATAATCCTGTCCTGTATTTGCCTTCGATTCACATTCCACCTGTGTTAAATGTCCAGTTCCATTAGAATTGCTTAATAATGTGCCGCTAAACGTTTGAGAAGCAAAAAAAGAATATACACAGAGAGAAAAGTGAAAAAAGCATGTTAATAATAAAACCAAAAAAGTAAAAATACATGCACTTCCATCCATTTTCCATTTCAAAATTACACCTGGTAATGGAACACCATTTTGAAAAAGCAAAGACTACAAACCTTAAAGTGCACTTATTTTAGGCTGCAGGAAAATGAACACAGAAGCTCATTATATTTTCAAGAGCAGCAGAAAGTAATGTAAATGTATGTGCTATATGTACAAGCAAAAAAAAAGTTATTGTGTAAATAACAAAGGCGTTTCCATATCCTCTGTCTAAAGCTTTGGGAGACTTGTTTTAACTCAGTGGTTCCCAAACTATTTCTGCAGCACTATTTCCCCTACTGTAGACGGATGTAAATTCCAAGTGAACTTTGTAGTAGTCCACACATTAAACCATGTCTAATTATTTATTTCCACTGATGGGTCACCATCAACCATCACCTTCAACCAGTTGTTGTAACTTTTCCCCTTGCTTCTTCAATCTGAACACTCAAATTTGACAACAACGACTACGTTCCATTAAGAAATTAAAGAACAGGAACTGCAGAGATGAATTACTGAGACATTTTCCACCCGGTTCGAATGCAGATGTGAGATATATTAGAATGAAGGAGTGAAACTGCTGCATGTGCCAGGTGTGCCGCTATCTGGGGCACGGATATAAACAAATAGGTGAATAGGCTTCGGTGGGAGGGGGAACTGTGCGCCTTAATTATTCGGCTGCATCCGCAGGGTATTTGAAAGCAACCAGAGCATTACTCAGCAAATTGACTGTGCTGATTGGATATTCATCATGCTCACAGCAGTTGCAGCCAAGTGAACACAGCCCTGGTCCAAATTACCTCTTTTTGAACCCAGTCATTATTTCAGTGTTTAATAGTAACACTGTTGTTTCAACGCTTGCTGGTTCACATATGCAGTCCATTTCTGCAGCCACACAAAAGTCAAAATGAAAATGGTTATTAGTTTACAATAGCCACACAAAAGTCACACCAAAATGAAAATGGTTATTAGTTTACAAGTGCTATTTAGGCTTTATGATTGTGAACCTTTTTAGATGTTGGTTATTTGCTATTTAGAACTGGGAAATATTCTCAAGGCGACAATGTTGTTATTTAATGTAGTGTGATGTTAATTTGGATTCAAAATTTAAATGCATTTTAATGCATGGCAAACCCTGTATATCCAATAACATCACTGTCAATCATGATTAATCATGATTTTGATTTTGTAAAAGCAATTTTCTGTGAAAAGTTTTAGTCTAACCAGAGAGCTAGTGTTCCTGGAAAGTGACCGTGCAGTTTTGAAGTCGCAGGAAGTCTCCTGAAGCTAATGGTCTTATTGGCCACAGATTTCCTTTAGAATTTAAATCATGACGTGTAAATACGCATGGGGACTAATGCGCTGACATTTTTGAACTGCCAATAAATTTTACAAAAAAATAGCCAAATGTAATGGAATTTCTCAGTGTAGTGACAGAGATATAGCACCACGTCTCTTCATCACTGAGTGTTTGGTGGAGCTCAGGGAGTAGGAAGGTCAAACGCAGCCGTCTGCCTCCTGTGACAAGACAATCGACCACGAGTCGTCCATAATTCCCCGACCAGTCAGTGTCTTGTCCTTTAGCCTGGATAAATGGGTTCAGTCGCAACAGTAAATGAATTAAGCAACAACCAACTATGGTCCCTAGAGGACAGAGGAGGTATTACAATTGAGGTTTATTTTCGTGAGTAATCTCAGTCTCCAAGTAGAAAATATTTTTTATGAAACCGGGCTGTTACTAACTTGCAGCCTCAGCCCTGGACTGTGATGGACTTTAAGAGAGCCAATCAGGTTAATCAAAATTCCCATAAGATGAGCCAGAATGATGAGGAAACAAGGATGCTTTTTAGACAAATGTAAAACAAACAGTGTGACCACACGTTGGAATAAGTGATGAGTATTCTTGCCTGTTTGATCCTTGGTCTTTTTGTGAGGAGTTTGCATCACAAAGTGTGTGAGGTTCTTTTCCAGGTACTCTGACTTTTTTGTGTGTCTTTTTTCTTTATGTGTGACTGAAATTAAATAACAGCAATACTAATAATAATAATAATAATAACAATAACAATAATAATAATAATAAGTGAGTTTCTTCCACAGGTTGAGCTATTTTTGTTTGTCGTTACCGAAGCATAACTTTGACTTTATCTTCTCTTGGTTTCTGGCCGTGTTGAGAGTCTTGTTTTCAGGCGAGCCGAACACTTAAAGGATGCAGAGGCCTTCTGTCAACCAGTAATAAATGCAGTGACTTTACATGGCTCTGGTTGTATCAGAAAGGCCCACCAGCATCTAGCATTTGGTGACATTCTCCTGATGAACCCCTCACAGTCCAGACGCTATATGTCACAACAGGAGTAGGACTCCCGTCACTCCCCGGAATCACCTTGTCGACAAGACATTTCTCCGCGTCCTCAGACACACTGATGCATTCAATTTATTCATGGGAAAGGAGAGAAGATAATGGTAGTACGGAATGTGTATGAGCACGAGAAGGTGGAGGGCTGTTTGCGAAACGGACACACAGGGAAAGTGTGGGAGGAGCAGTGGAGGTGCCAGGGTGATGGATGAGAGGGAAGCTCCTCTGCTCAGCAGAGTTTGGAGAGGAGACTTTAATGAGACTGTGGATAACGTCCTCAGGACGGAAGCTTCTGTGTTTAGTGCACATGACGAAAACTGTGATGTCACAATGGAAGACTCACGTTCTTCATCAGGCTATAATTAGCTGATAATAGAAAAAAAACAACAACAAAAAAACAACATAAACTATAGCCAGAAAAAAAGACAATGTCAGAGTGACTTTCTGTTTTAGCTTCATCAGGAAAAGGATTCTGTTCCAATCAGCAAACACCGCAGATAGATCCTGATCTCATTAGTTCTATAAGCACCTTATTGCCTCTGGCCATCATCATCACACACACACACACACACACACCCACACACAGGCTGTTTTCAGTGTTATCGGAGCACTTCACATACATGAAAAAAAATGTAAAGGCATAACGCTGACTAAAGTCACTATTTATTTTTATTTTCTGATTCTAATTAGTTTGTGGAAAACCGAACAAGACATAAAAAGGGCTGGATAAAAAAAAGAGATGATTAAATCCGTATTATCCGCTGTCTTCACCTCCCGCAGTCGTTTTCCACTGACACAAAGCGGGGAAGGAAATAGCAACACTGCGTGTATAATAATTAGCAACTTCAAACCTGTACCTTGGTAACTGTAGAGATCTCCCACGCTGTTCTGGCGTGTGATATGCTGCCAGTAGGCGCTGCGTGGCAGGGAGATGGACTTGGTTAATGTCTCTCTGGAGTGGATCTGAAAAGAAGAAACGAAAGACAAACTTTGTGTCTCTCACTTCCTGCTGTCCCTCGGTTGAATTATGTTTATATGGCAATAAAAAACAAAATCGCATTACAGAATAAAAATTGTCCTTATATCACACTGTGTTATATAACACAAACGTTGATTTGCATGTTGGGCAAGTGAGGTGTGATTTTGTCTACATTCAAAGACTCGGCTGTTGAGCGAATGAAATGATTGAAATGTAAAAAAAAATGTCAATATTTTACTGAGCAGCTTACCAACACGATTTTGCAATCATTCTGCGAAACCCGGGTGGAGTGAGTTTTGTTTGGCTTTCCCTGTGATTTATAAAGCTGAAGATAAATGCAGCATTTGGAAAAGTTCCAAAATGGTGGGATCCAGAAGCAAGGCCATATGGTCAAGGCTCATCAAACCCTGGGCAGGTCTACATAAATAAAGAATAAAAATGATAGCAGGGGGAGGAAGGAAGGAAGAAAGGAAGAAAGGAAGGGAAGAAAAGGATGGAGGGGTGTTGTGCTGGAGGCAGGGGGCACCAACCGAGGGTGGAGGCGGCCAGAAGGCTTCCTGAACAAGGCATAATTTAAAAAAAAAAAAAAAAAAACTCCAGAAGATTGTGTAAATTTTGGTCCTGGTGTGTGTGTGTACGTGTGTGTGTATTTTACTCGTCATATAACTTCAACTGTTTCTGGCCTGTTGTATCTTAAAGCACTATGTAAAACAGACACACAATAAATAACCATGCCTAGATGGCGCCGCATGTTTTGCACTCATTGCAGGCTGTTAGTCACACTGACAGCCCAAAATAAAAGGCTGCTGTGGAAAATATGATAAAGAATGAAAAATGAAAAGTCTACCTGGGAGCTCTTCTCCATCTCCTCCATCATCCTCTCATGCTGCTGGGCGATGGCCAGCGTTGCCGAGTGGACCCGCTGGTAGATCATCTCCCCCTCCCGCGTCTGGAACGTGAACAAACCCTCTCCTGTGTCACACATCCTGCTCCAGGAACACACACACAGAGACACAGAGAATTATACACACTTTGATCTTGCTCACTTTTTGGATTAGATTGCTGATTTACAAATATGTGTGGTTGAACGTGCAGTTACAGAGACAGATTGATGCGGTGCAGGATGAAAAAAAAACCCAAACTCATTCACAGATGCACCTGTCACAGCGGAGCCTGAAGGACTGTGAGATGATCTGCTTTCTCAAAGCATCTTTGATCAAGTTCTCGTCAGCACGCGTCCAAACACTCCAGAAAGAAAACATCGGTGCAAAAACCCACCTTCCAGACTCGAACGTGAACCAGGTAGAGTCTCGACCGTATCGGCGCAGAGAGCTGAGGGGCCACATGACCAGCTTGAGGCGAGCGTTGTGAATGTCCCACAGGTAGATGTTTTCATGGGTGATCTGCATGGTGCACTCTCCGTAGATATCCAGGTTAGGGGTGGGCATTAGGTAGACGTTGAAACGCTCTGGAAATATTGAATAAAACACCTCAATCAAATTCTGCCTGCTGGGAATTGAACCCCCGACCTTCTGACTTGATGAAAACCTCCTTAAGGATTTAAGTCACTGACTTTTAAGCTCAGATTGTTTCATTTTATTCAAAGAAAAATCATTATTCTAGGTGCTAGTCTTTTCAGATTGAAGCAGAATTTCACATTTTTTACTTCGTTTAAACCTTACAACAACCTTCACATGGTTGAAAGTTGACCCATAAGGTGTGAACTCTTTAAGTGTCAATTAATGACTACTATTCACTTTGCTCCATGGATCAGAGTGGGTGTGAGCGGTCGTCCAGTGAGCCGGACCAAGATCATTCTCTTTAATTTAACTTTGTGCGACAGACAATGAGGGAGGAAGTGAGAGAGAAGGGAGAACGACTTCACCCTGATCTAAATGAGCTCCCGCTAATTAGACTTAATGATTCAAAATACGCCACGTGTCTGCTGAAGATAGAAATTGGAAATGTCATTGTCTGGCATATTTTTAGAGACAGTGAAAATGAACTCTAATCTACAGTATTTATCGGCCCCAATCCTTCAGTCAGGGCCACTCTCTGAAAAGAACAGTTTTCTCAAGGCTAAAAGAGAATTTAAAGGTAGCCTGTTGTTTCAATTCACTCAGGTTTAGGTTCCACAAATATATTCTGTGTCAAACACCCTCTAATAAAACAAGTTATTTTAAAGACCATAATTCCACTTTACCTTCTCCCCAGATAAAACCTGGACTCAGCGACAGCACATATTTTCCAGTAACTCGCCCCGTACAACTTTAAACTGCTTTTTTTTTTTTTCATTTTCCTTCACAAGTTCACAAATTACCGCGAATGAGCTCCGGTGTGACGGCTGTGCCCCGTTGTCTCCTTTCCATTTCCATTTCCTGTGAGTGGAATATGTGGGGAAGCACATTTATTTCACGTGGCCTTAGGAGCCATAATCTCATCCATCTCTGTGACAACCTTCATTATGAGGGAAGCCAGTGATGCACAGCACTTCTCATTAGGCCTGGAACAGAGCCCCGGCCACAGCCTGTGACCTGTGCTCTAACTCACACACACACATATCAAACACACGCACGCGCAGGTTTCCTTCAACTGGCACGTGCACACGTTTAATTGTTCCTCTGAACAAACGTGTGCAAATGTTACCAAATGTTAGGGACCGTGGCTCAGTTATTGACAGGCAACGGCCCCTATTAGCTGGGCCTAATTGGACAGTGACTGCTCTGCTCCCCGGTCCTCTGAGAGCTCAGCTGCATTAACACATATGGGACTGGACTGCAATCACTAACTGTTTGATGGCAGGCACAGAGAACGAGATTGACCCTGAATGGCTGTCTTTGTTAGCAGGGACTAATTGGGCACTCACCGTTCTGCTCCTGCTGCACCCCCGCTGCTAACAGGTCTGGCTCTCCCAGGCTGATGTCGTTGAGACGGCTGCCCAGGCACTCCATGCACAGCAACTTGCACCACTCCTCTGCATCCAGCTCTGCACATAACCATACATCAAAAGTAGTGTTAATGCATGTCCACACACACACTTTATAAAACACAAATTATACTCCTACAACCGTCCGGCCTGTAGCCTGTTTACACACGTGTGCACGTACACATATGTCATGATATAAATTTGGAAAACAAAATACTGCAGATTAAAAGAGGCAGCGAGTTCAGCAACAGCCAATGATGAATGGATGCTCTCCCCTCTCGCTCGCAGTGACCCGACCCTCCTACAATATATATAAAGGTAGCCGGTGTAGTCCGACAATGTACGTCCGGTCACGAGTGAAAGCAGTGATTATTACAGTATTGTAATCAATAAGCTATTCACCAAATAGAAAGAAAGGCTTAGCTTTTAGGTCAAGCAGATGGTTTTAAATGCTACGTTAATCACTTCCCAAATGGTGGAAGATTAAACAGATTCTTACATTAAATCTGAGCTAATTAGCACAGGCTAGTGAATTATACCACAAAAAGTAAGACATCGAGCTTCATTTATTTTTCCAACACCATGTTAGCTCACAAGTATGCATCCTTACAGCAGGGTTTGACTTTTTTTCTTTTTTTTTAATTCAAACCCAGCTTCATTTGCATGAAATTATTAATATATGCATGTTCCTGGAGTTTACCCTTAGGAATTTCATGCAGTGAGATGGCAGCAGTTAACCTAAAATATACTGTCACCAATTAGCAGCCAGTCAAGCCTACAGACAGACGTCTGGCTTGATTTTTTTGTTGTTATTTTAGAGTGTAGGATTTAGCATGTTTACATATCCTTCCCTTCAACACGATCATCCACACGTGGGAGAACATATGGTGGCCTTCAGTGATCATTAAAACACATGAGGTGCTGTAGCAGAGACGGTTTCCTGAATTAAATTTCAAAATTCAAAATTCAAATTTATATGTTTTTAGGTGGCTGCAATGCCGTAAAAGTATCAATTAAATACATAGTGTGGTGTAATTTTACCTGTTTCTTATGCAGTGTTTTTAACTATGAACCAAATGAGAAGACGGGATGTAAAATAAGGCTAAATGAGACCCAACTTTGCAGCAAATTAATACAAAACTTATTGGAAACCTGTTGACTCTTTGTTGTCAAAAAAACTCAGCCATTACATAACAGATTTACATAACAAACCTCAAGCTAAACTGGGAGCTGAAGATATATTTGTAGACATCATTTTTAGAAAAACACAGAACAGAACAGTACAGTACGTCAATGTTGTGCCCACTTTCTTTCAAATTATATGCTCTAATCTGGTACCTGAAATCAGCCTTTTCAAGTGTTACTGCTGTTTGTAGTTTCAAGTCTGTACTAAAAGTAATATCCTACTGAATCAAATCACTGGTACTGTGGGGAATGAAATGTGGCTTCGGACGGGGCTCAATGTTTTCTGGGAAAATAAATGTTCATCCAGTGTCAACATGTCCATTAAGTAAAACCACAGAGCAGATTATCACAGGATTATTACACCGTAATACATGTGTGTGGAAAAGAAAATTGGATAAAGACACAGAAACAGGAACAGTGAATTGTTTTGGTAGTGTGTAAATCCTGCAGGTGTTTCTATAACTTTATCGCACTATATATGTAGCATTGGTTCCCAAAGTGGGAGGTTGGCCCCCTTCGGGGGCGCTGAGGGACTGCAGGGGTTGGCAGCAGGTCAAATTAATTTAAATACTTCATATTTTTTCAAATTGTGCCACAAGGGGAAATTTATAATTTTTTATTGGTGAGAATATTTATTTTTAGTAATCACAGTGATTTAATTAATAATCACTGGAGTTTTTAGGCAGTAGCTGTGAACTTCTCGACCTGAGGAGGAGGTGGGGGTGGGCTACAGCATTAATCTGCACTTCCCTACAATTTAGTAAATAAGGGTTTTTTTGGGGGCGGGGGGGGGATTGGGTTATATCTCATCATAAATCATCGCTGCCTCTATTTAAGGAAGCCGTTTGCATTTGAGAACAGCTTTGTGTGGAAACTTGTATCCACCACTCATGGCAGCTGGCTCTGTGAGGAGGAGGGAGAGCATCCACTCAAAGACTGAGTCAAATTCAAATCTGCAAGTCTGTTTTGCCGTCTGTTGTTTGGGAATGCAATTTTCTTTCCGGTTAAATAAGGAGCAAAAAATAAATAAATAAGAGAAATAGAATTTACAGTGCTGATGGTTTCCCGATTGTCTTATGTGAGGTCTCGTTGAGAGTTAGAGCGGAAGGAAACGAGGCAAATGCCAGCGTTGTTTATCTTTCAGAAGCCCCTTAACTCCAAGCCCTGATGGAATTCTGGGATATGTACCCAGACTCGGGGATGTGTGCATAAAGATGCAGAGTGTGGGAACTAGGTGCGGCCGGTGTGTGGGAAAGTCTGGGGTGTTTATTATTCAAAAATCAACATATGTCTGTGTAACGTGTGAAGTGAAGGTGCCCTGGCTGCGTTCACCTCGACCTGGCTTCTGTAATCGCTGAAAAAGCAAGACAGCCTGTATGGCAGATCAACTCCAGTGTCCAGTGGGACGGATCTGCAAAACTTTGAAAGGTGAAAGAAAGGTCTGCTCCTGGCCGAAGCATTTCATTCACAAACACACAACAAAAAACACACACACACACACACTGACAGCAGCTGTTTTCTCCGGCTCCCTCTCTCTCCATTCTGCTTTTCTCGTTCACTTCACGCGGTCTTTAAGTGCCTCCTAACTCCCACACTTTTAAGGCCAATGAGTGGAAAATTGACTGAGCAAACACTTGATCAGCAGTAATGCAGCTTCACTGCTCTGTGTGCCACACATGAGGAAGTTTGGTAAAAGAATGTCTCTGTCGCTTTGGAGGTGTATGTATGTATGTATGGTGTGTGTGTGTGTGTATGTCCGTGTCTGTGTGTGTGTTTTTGGGGAGAACAAAGATGCATTTCATGTTTGCAAGACTGCGGAGGAAGAAATATGTGAGAATCACAAGACTCTCAGAAGACAGTGTTTTTCTCCCCGAATGAGGTTTCGGCGCAGATTTATTTCTTTTTTTAAAGAAAAACACAAAACCTTCCTGGGTAAAAAATAGAACTACAGAGGATGAATGGAACTTCTGGATTTGGATAGAACTTTGTGAAATACGTCTATATTTACTTAACTTCTGAATAGAAGTAAAGGTGTATTTGTGTCACTCTTTGATAGACTGATGACAGTTTTGCGAAGATTAA